AACTTATATTTTGATCCCCTTCTTATCACATTATTTATCTTGCCTTCTATTTTGTCTTTTGAGACTTCCATGGAAACGTTTTAAAATTCATGAATCATCTTTCTTTCAGTACTTTAAATTCTTTTTTTTCGTGATAGTCTAATCGCGACATATACGTAAGCTCCTTTTATTGTTGGGAACCGCAAGATTTTTCTCGATAATCACCGACCGAGAGCCCTACCGGTAATTACCGCAACTCGGTATTCACTGACCGCATAATTTTGAGCGTTGGTCGGTTGCGGTTTGGTTGTAACCGCGGGACGATTAGCCACGGTCACCGACCGAGCGAGCCTTGTCGGTTGCGGTCGGTAATCACCGATGGGTCGGTAATCACCACAACTCCGTATTCACCGACGGTCGAGGACTACCGCAAAACAGTCGGTGATTACCGACCGTCGGTGATCACCGACCCAAAACTACTCCGTTACACATGCGCTCCCATTCATCCTTGGCAATAACACGCCTCAGTAAATGTTCTCTGCCAACTTCATGAATGCCGATTCAATTCACACCGATAAATTTAGTCGATAAACAATTTGAATTTAACAATTTATGTTATGAACATGGTATTATAATTCTCTTCGCATTCTTCTTTAACCCATGAATTGAATGCTCCGACAGGAGCAAGTGTCCGACAGAGAAGGAAGCTGAACATCCAAAAGAATGCTCACGTCTTCGTGAAACACCTTTAGACCATTGAGAACAGGCTAGCTGCTGCAATATCGCTATGTGAGACTTTTATGATAATTACTCACAAGTTTCAAATATGATATGGATGCCCGACGGAGTGATGAAAAAATAATCCGATTGTTAAAGTAAGGTTAGGCCGCGGCGAAATTGGCCTCGGGGCCTCCGAGGCCTGGGATAGAGTGTTCAAGGGCTTCCATGAGGAGAAAGCAAGTTCATGTGACCTCGAGATTTCGTAAGTGCTCGGATACCTCAGATTTTTGGGTGTCTAGGAAGCAACCCTTTTTGTGGGTGAACAATCATGGTAACGTTCTCTCGGTTCGAAGTTCGTAGCAGTTCTGCAAATGAAATTGATTTTTTCTTCTTTTCTTAGGTGTGCACACATGCTCAAGTATCAAAGAAATTGGAACGTTACTTTGGTTCCTTGTGAAGAGGGCTACTGTACACAAGGTGATGTCGATCCCAGATTGATGATATTGGTATTCACAGTAGCGTTAGTAATAGTAATGGGGAATATTGATAGAGCAGCAAGATTTACCAATCTTACGAAGTAGTCGATCAAGGAGACGGATCGGTTCAGCTATTTCACGTGGCTCATCCTCCATACGTTCTTCGGATGGGACAAGATCATCCGTTCCCGGCCGCAGATTCCATCACGGTTTCGTGCCGTCCGTCTTGACATCGTCACATCCAAGTGTAAAGGAGATTACTGATCGAGATCGTTGGAAAATATAGACGAGACAAGCGTATAACCCTTTGGGAAGCGTCCTGGTCATGCCAGACATGTCCAGGTCAAGAGACGATGACGCGACAGGATGAGAATGTGGATGCAACAGTCCATTCAGTGAATAGAAATGTGCATCTCTTTCATATGTGACGACACCGAGGATGTGTGGATTTGCAGGATTTCTTTAATGATAAGGCGAATGTTAGCGTTCGGCACAGACACACTTCATCCTTCTTTGGATGGTTGTCAGTACGCAAATAAACATCTCACAAACACTTTGATGACATTTCACCTCACATTTCCGTTAAAATGTGATCGAGAGCAATCTGTTATTACGATGTTTGCCATTAAAAATCTATAATCGTGAGATTAGTATGGTTTCTGAGCATTTTTTCCGATATCTAAGCAATCTTTTTGAGTGATCGAATCATTTTCTGAGAATTACAACAATTTTTTCTTACAGATAAACTTGAATAAAGCCTGAGAATATTTGCTTTCATTGCCTGTCTCTATCATTTTTACTGAGGCTGCAAAACACGCAATTCTAATTTATTATTTTACTTTCGTGGTGATACCTCTTTTCAACTACTTCAATTTTAGACTCCCTTATCTCCAATTGATATTTTAATTATATTCCGCTTGAACAATTCATTCATATATTTAAAAATTATTTCGCCGACCGAGAACTTTCTACGGAATTCTTATTCTTTAACTTGTCTTCCCCGTTATTATTTATGCTCAGTTGATCCCCACACTTTGTTTTCTGTCGATATTTAGAGTTACGTTTAGAAGGTGAGCGATGGGTTTGTCGATCGTTCTATGCGATCGGCAAAATGT